AGGAACTTAATTGCTGTTCGTTCCTGTCGTTACGCCCCGAGAAGGTGTATTTTGCATAATTAATTTGGGTCTGACGTCTTCACTTTAATTGGGTGAGGTTTTGGTGGTGGGGAAAGAGGGGGAAGGGAAAGGGGGAGGGGAAGGGGAAGGAGGGGAAACGGTGAACGGGTAGAAGAAGGGAAGGGGGGGAAAGGGAAGGGGAAGAAGAAGGGGAAGGGAAGGGATAGAAGAGGGGAAAGGGAAAGAGGGAAAAGGGGAAAGGGGAAAGGGGAAGGGGTAAGAGTAGGGGTAGGGGTAGATAAAGTAGAGGTTAAAGTGGAGGTGGAAGTAAGATAGCGAAATAAGGGATAAGCTAAAGAAAGCGCTCAAAAGACCTTTGGTATATTTAGTGCGAATATATTGGACGAGTGGAGACTGCAGACAAGCTGGAGATGGTGTAGGTGAGGAAGGAAATAAAGCAATTGATGGAGGATGCGGAGAACGCGAAGAGAATGAAGACAAGGAGGAAGGAGGTGTAGGGGATGAGGAACAAAGTGAAGAAAGGGAATGTGAAGAATACGGAGAGGAGAGTTGTAGAGGAGGTGTATATGCAAAAAAGTATAAGAGGAAAAAGTTCAGGTGATGAAAAAAGAAGGAAATAGATGGGAAGTGGAGAGAAGTAAATAAGAAGGCAAGGAACGTAACTTGAATGGAAAAAAATAGATAGAAAGACAGAAAGAATTAAAGAAAGGAGGAATTAAAGAAAGAAAGAATTAAAGCCAGAAAGAAAGAAAGAAAGAATTAAAGAAAGAAAGAAAGAAAGAAAGGATTAAAGAAAGAAAGAATTAAAGAAAGAGAGAATTAAAGAAAGAAAGAATTAAAGACAGAAAGAAAGAAAGAAAGAAAGAAAGAAAGAAAGAAAGAAAGAAAGAAAGAAAGAAAGGGAGGAAGAAAAAATGAGGAAGTAAAAAGAGAAGGGGCAGGAAGCCTTAGAACCACCAAAAGCATCGACACGCCCTCGCTGTATGAGGCGTGGGCGGGAGGAAGGTTTTGTGGGAGGGGAGAGGGGAGGGGGGAGAGGAGAGGAGGGAGAGGGGAGGGGGGAGAGGAGGGGGGGTAGGAAGGGGGGAGACAGGGAGAGGAGAGGGGGAGAGGGAAAGGGAAAGGAGGGGGGGGATAGGAAGGGGGGAGACAGGGAGAAGGGAAGAGAGAGAGAGAGGGGAGGGGAAGGGAGAGGGGGGAGACAAGGAGAGGGGAAGGAAAAGGGGAGAGACAGGGAGAGGGGAAGGGAGAGGAGAGGGAGAGAAGGTTAAGCTCTTCTGTCAGGGGCTTAAGGGAGGAGAAAAATCATATATTGAATTATGGGCCGGATTAATCCACTAATTTGATGTTATTTTGTCTGTATTTGTGGTAATGTCGTTGTTAGCATGGACATCGTTGTTGTGTTCTTGCTATTAATGGTGATTGATGATGATATGATCATTACGATCATTATTTTATTTCTGACGATAATTTGGCATAGAGGCTGTGGTAAGTCGCCTGTACTGTTTGTAAAAAGGGTTTTGTACATCGAAAAGCATTTTTATGTTATTCATGTACACAGTGTGTGTGTGTGTGTGTGTGTGTGTGTGTGTGTGTGTGTGTGTGTGTGTGTGTGTGTGTGTGTGTGTGTGTGTGTGTGTGTCTGTGTCTGCACGTGTGTGTGTCTGTGTCTGCACGTGTGTGTGTCTGTGTCTGCACGTGTGTGTCTGTGTCTGCACGTGTGTGTGTCTGTGTCTGCACGTGTGTGTGTCTGTGTCTGCACGTGTGTGTGTCTGTGTCTGCACGTGTGTGTGTCTGTGTCTGCACGTGTGTGTGTCTGTGTCTGCACGTGTGTGTGTCTGTGTCTGCACGTGTGTGTGTCTGTGTCTGCAAGTGTGTGTGTCTGTGTCTGCAAGTGTGTGTGTCTGTGTCTGCAAGTGTGTGTGTGTCTGCACGTGTGTGTGTGTCTGCACGTGTGTGCGTCTGCACGTGTGTGTGTGCGTGTGCGCGCGTGCGTGCGTGCGTGCGTGCGTGACTATGTTATGTATCTGTCTCCATCCCTTTCTTCCTTTCCTCTTTCCTACCTTCCCTCCCTTTCCTCCCCTTCTCCCCTATCTTTCCTCCCTTTCCTCTCTTTCCTCTCCCTTCCCTCTCCCTTCCCTCCTTCCCTCTCGGTTTAGGCGGCCCCTGATAAGCAGCTTGAGGTAACACCATTAAGCCCCATCGGCGGTGATGCAGCGAGGCTTATCAGCCCCGTGGTTCCGCTGTTCCTGCTAGCGGTGCGTTCAGGCCCTATTGTCTCTCTCTCCCCCCTATTGTCTTTCTCCCCCTCCTCCTCCTCCTTCTCCTCCTCCCCGTCGCCCCCTCCGTGATCGTAAGCTCCTTCTTAGTCTTTTTCTTTCACTCCCCTTTCTTTTTTTTTTCCTTCCCCTCCCTCTCGTCTTATTTCTTCTCGTCTCCCCTTCCTCCCCTCCTTTCCCTTTCTGTCTGCCCTCTTTTCCCCGTCTTCACCCTCTCCCTCTTTTTCTCTCCTCTCTCCTTCTTCCCCCCCCCCCTCTCCCCCCTTCTCCCCTCCTTCGTTGCTCCTCCTCCACTCCTTTGTTGCTTCTCTTCCCCACCTTCATTCCCTCCACCTCTCCGCCCCCCCCCCCTCCTTCCCCTCACCACTCATCCTTACATAATGCTTTCTCACATTCTCAATCTGTCCTCTCCAATTGATTATTCCCCCTCTCTCCTTTCTTCTCTCCCCTCTTGTCCTCCTCCTTCCTTCTCCATTTCTTTTATTCTCCCCCTCAAGGATACGCGATCATTTTGCACACGTGGTTTGGTTGGTCTCTTGTGCGTGCTCTTGTGTGTGTGTGTGTGTGTGTGTGTGTGTGTGTGTGTGTGTGTGTGTGTGTGTGTGTGTGTGTGTGTGTGTGTGTGTGTGTGTGTGTGTGTGTGTGTGTGTATGCATGTATGTATGCATGTATGTATGTATGTATGTATGTGTTCGAATGTGGCATTGTTATCATATCAGTTTATGTTTGGGGAGGGAGGGAGGTTGGGTAAGGATATGCAGTTGAATGTGCTTGTGTATTATATGCTTTTGTGTATTGTGTTCCTGTAAATGAATGTTCCTGTTTATCCTGCGTTGGAATGAATGGGTATAATGTGTAAATACTTCCAAATTACGTCTGTATATAGCGTGAATAAGTTTCATTTAGGGGAAAATACAAGAAATTATTTAAAAAAAAACATTAGTCATGTGGAAACAAATCAGAGAAAAAATGAACCCACAGAAAACGCAGGCCAGGGATAACTTTTCCATTCCCGCGAGCTAAAAACAACACCTGGCTTAAACGACGTGGGTCTTGTACACAACTGCCATTACCAACACCAACATCAGTCACTCGCTAGACTAAACAAACCCGCAGGAACCGTGATAAGTGGTAAACTCGAATACCAGAAAGTGATTAGAGAGCCCCGAGGGTCCCTGTGACTAATCTTGAACGTAAGACGAGGGATTGGGAGAGGGTTCGTGATATTGGAAAATGATTTTGAGGCGAGGCAGCGACTGCTTTGGAAAACAGATGAAGGCAGGTCCCCAGCTGTGTTTGTTGAAGAATGGGTAGATCTCTCTTTTTTTCTTCTGCGCGATTGTTTTTTTTTGTTCGGTTCAGGCAAGTAATTTTCATTCTTTATTTGATTTTTTTTTTATTGTGTTTGATTTATTTTTTTAGTCGAAACTGCCATGCTACGCGCAAGCACAAACCAGGGCGCTCCATGGACGCGGTTACGAAATAAACATCTTTGAGGCCGTTGAAGGATCTTGTGAATTTATTACTTTATTTATATATATAGTAGGACAGCAAGGTCCTGGATGAACTCAGGAAGGGATGCCCGTCTTTTCGTATATCTAGCTATAAATTATTATTATGTTACCGATAGACTAAAGTGGTTTTATCTTTTTTCACAAGGAAGACACTGCATGAATGTATTAATAGTGATTCCGTACAAGCTATGCGGTATTAGGCTGAACTGCTAAAAAAAGCTAAATGGATAGAAGGAACCGCTAACCACGCCGTTTGACGGACAATTATCAATTTACTCATCACCGTTGAGTGATACAGCAGTAATCCATAGATGTAAGATGGCACCCCCCCCCCCCCCCCCCCCCCGCCGGGTGATTCTCAGATCACCCGTTTTAGAATCCACGACGTGTACGACACCGATGGATTTGCGATTAGTTTGTTGTGACAGAGCCGATTACACCTTTGGCACAAGGAATTGACACCGTGCCACAACATGCTTTCTGTCATCTTGTGCTCATATATTTACGTGACATACGTTTATATATCTGTGTATCTATCTATCTATATCTATCTATCTATATCTATCTATCTATCTATCTACTCGCACGCACACCTATGTCAATATATGTATCTATTTTTGTTTGCGGTAGCAGCTCTAGCTGTAACTATGTGATCTGTAACTTTATATTTGCCTTTATTTTCGTTTTTGTCATTACCCGTATCTGCATCTGTATATCTTTATGAATTTCTGCCTAGTTATATATGCATTTGTCTGTCTGTCTATCCATCTATGTATATACCTTTCTATCAGTCTGTTTATCTGTGTTTTTTATGTAATTATGTATATGTATATGTTTTTGTAGTATTATGTATGTATGTATGTATGTATGTATGTATGTATATATGTGTATGTGTATGTATGTACAGTATGATGTACAGTATGTATTTATGTACGCCGAAACACACACGCACAGAGTATTTTACTGTTCTACTTGGTAATATTAATTCACTTCAAAAGATGTATATTTGTACATCCTTTTACTCTAAGAAAAATAAGAACGTTTGGCAGGTAACGCACTGACGAACTTGTACGCATGTGGCATCGTCATATGAGCTTCCCGAGGGGCGCGGGTGTTCAACCTGCGTTCAGGACGAGAGGGTTTTTACATGCGTCTTGCCTAATCTCTTGTTTTTTCCTGTCGTGATCTCGGCGAGGTCACCGCTCGGGGGGACAAGCGCGGAGGTGCCGTGGCAAGTGTGTCACCGTTTAGGATTACTTTGCCGCCGGTGCCAGGAATTAGAGCGGCGACGGAGGGGGTGCCAGCCGGAGGTCAGTTCGTGCCAGGCTGGCACCAAGAGCGGATTGGAACCAAGTGTGGTCAAATTTGCGTGGAGGAAATTGTTTGGTATAATTAGTGCTATCCTTGACTCGTTGTTTAATGGTGTATATTGGATCTTATATGCAGTATGCGTTGTAAGATATTTAGTGTTGTGTTGAGTCAGAGCAAGAGAGTGGGTGCGTCGGTACGAAGCACATACGCGCGACAAAGCTTTAGATGGGTTCGAGTGTGACTCAACAATCTTCAGCGGTTGATAGAAAGGCATTATCTAGCGTCGCCCAAGTGAACCCTAGCTAGTTCTTGAGTGCGAGTCCTAGGGTGCAGGTGTTGGCTGGCAGAGGTAGTGATAGAACACCTGGCGACGACCACCCATCTGGCGGTGACGTCGTGCCAGCTACGGTGCCCTAGCGTGTCAGGGCAGTGTTGCCCGTAGACATAGCCGCGGAGAGGCCTCGGAAACAGGACGCTCCGGCCCGGATAACCCTCGCACGCCCCTCTTGCCTCCGCAGTACCTGGGGCCCCCAACCGGCGGCCCTCTTACAGGTGTCATGTGACTCAGTGGTGCCGTCGTTCGCGTGGGTCGCCAGGTTCGCAGTCAGTGCAAGGAAGGGAATTAATAAGGAGCGACCGCCGCTACTTCGGCATGAGCAACGTAGTCGCCAAGAGCCGCGCGGGCGCCAGCAGTTTAGGGTCGGAGCAGCTGAGACGAAGCGATGAGGCGACGTGGCCCTCGGCAGGGAGTACTGCTCGCAGGCCTCTGACTGATGCCCCGGAACAGCGCGAGCGAGCGTCGTCGCCCCTCCGAGATGCCACCCCGCGCCGCAACTGCCAAGAAATGGAGTCGGAGGGAGAAATTCCTTTCATAGATGATGATAATGACGATGGTGGTGATGGTGATGCCTGTGATGGTGGTGGATGCAGTGGTAAGGAACAGGGGATGGATGGGACACGTGATGGTAATGCGGGCGAGGTTGGCGTTACCCTCAGGAACAAAGTGATGAGCAGCTCGAAGCAGAAGCGGCGGGCCGAGTTCATCCTCTCTGCTCCTCCCAGTCCTTCGTCCCCTCTGCTGTGCCCGTTCGCCTTCTCGCCCTCTGCCGCAGGACCCGCCGCCGCTCCCCCTCGCGCCTGCACTTCGCCAGCCCAGATGTGTAGCGCCCCCGACTTCACCACCGCGTCGGCCTCGTCCGCCAGCAACTCCACCTCCACACCTGCCTCCACCCCTGCCTCCTCCTCCTCCATCGCCGGCAGGTTGGTGTCTGCCAGAGCCAAGGCAGAGGCCAAGGAGCTGGTCATCTTCAGGAGGAAGCGAGGAAGGCGGAAGGGGGACGACAACAACGCCAACAGGTGTGGCTGGCTGGCCGAAGTCGCGACCATCGAAGAGGAGGCGAAGGCGGTGCCAGCGGCGTCGGAGGAAGAGGGAGCGGCCCTGCGCGGGGAATCAGCGACTAGGTCTACAAGCACAGCAAGTAGCACGAATAGTGCCAAAAGTACCACAAGCACCGATGGCACCGTAGACACTGCGTGTGCCACAAGTACCACAAAGACCTCAAGCACCGGAGATGCCACAAGCATCCCAAGTACCACAAGCATAAATAACATAAGTACAACGAGCACCACGAGTACCACAAGTACCACCTCGAACGGCACCGGTCCTTACGACGAAGACGACGATATTATCATCAGTCTCATCCGAAAAGTACTGACTGAGGCGACCGAAGCGGAGACTGAAGGTAGAGTGAGTGAGTGAGTGAGAGAGTGAGAGAGTGAGTGAGTGAGTGAGTGAGTGAGTGAGAGAGTGAGAGAGTGAGTGAGAGAGTGAGAGAGTGAGAGAGTGAGAGAGTGAGTGAGTGAGTGAGAGAGTGAGTGAGTGAGTGAGTGAGAGAGTGAGAGAGTGAGTGAGTGAGTGAGTGAGTGAGTGAGTGAGTGAGTGAGAGAGTGAGAGAGTGAGAGAGTGAGTGAGTGAGTGAGTGAGTGAGTGAGTGAGTGAGTGAGTGAGTGAGTGAGAGAGTGAGAGAGTGAGAGAGTGAGAGAGTGAGTGAGTGAGTGAGTGAGTGAGTGAGTGAGTGAGTGAGTGAGTGAGTGAGTGAGTGAGTGAGAGAGTGAGAGAGTGAGAGAGTGAGAGAGTGAGAGAGTGAGAGAGTGAGAGAGTGAGAGAGTGAGAGAGTGAGTGAGTGAGTGAGTGAGAGAGTGAGAGAGTGAGTGAGTGAGTGAGTGAGTGAGTGTATGTATGTATGTATATTAATACGTGCGAGAGAGAGTGTATGTTAGTGAGTTAGGGCGAATGTGTGTGTGTGTGCGCGAGGGTGTGTGAATACATTTCTTAGCGCATGCGTAGGCTATGCGTACTCGTACGTGTGTAAGCA